GGGTGAGAGCAGGGGGGCTGGGAGCGCAGATGCCCGAGTTCTCTCCCAAGTCTAGGAAGAAACTGAGGCCTTGGACTGGAACCCTGGATACCTGGTTCCCTCCCAGCTCTGGGAGCCGTAATGGGGGCTCATCTGCATCTCAGTGGGTCATTATGGTGCCTGCTGGCCAGGTTGAACAGGGAGCACCCCCCAGGCATCCCTATACCTCTGTGTGCAGTGCCGGGTGCTGCCGCGGAGGACTGCTCTGCATTTTCCCACTCCCTTGTTCGTCACTTCGGGCCCCGATGGCTTCGCTCGTGGCCACAGTGCTGCCGTCCTGCTCCAGTGCATGCTGGGAACCGGCCTCATTCTGGTCAGCCAGCCGCCGGGACGAGCCGTCCAGCTCCTGGGTGCCCTGGCGGCCCAGCCTGCGCTCGGGGCCGCCTGTTTGCAAATCACCTAGCGAGGAACAGGGGTGGGGGGAAAAGAGTTGCGATAGCCGGAGGGAGGACACCTGACTTCCCTCCCAGCTGTGGGATGGGAAGTTAGAACAGGGGGGGCTGGGAGCCTGGGTTGTCTGGGAGGGGACTGGAGGCTAGGAAGTGAAGGCAAGAGGAACTGGGAGCCTGAAAGGCTTTCTGGTGGGTAAGAGCACAGGGCCTGGGGGCCCAGATGCCTGGGTTCTATCCCCAGCTCTGGGAGGTAAGAGCAGGGGGGACTGGAAGCCTGGATTCTCTTACCAGCTCCATGAGGCTGGTTGGTTAGAGCACAGAGGGATGGAAACATGGATGTGCCTGGTTTCTACCCCCAGCTTTGAAAAGGGAATGGGCTCCAAGGGGTGGGAGAAGGAGACACAAAGCCAGGACACCTGGGTTCTCCCCCAGCTCTGTGAGAGCCCTTAAAAATAAACTCCTGTAAGTTTACGCAGAAAAGGGTAAGACTGCCCTCTCACTCTCTCAACAGCTGGTTCTGCCTCCCACTCAAGCAGCAAGCCTCTAGTATCAAATGCAGGACAAACAGGTTTGAGTTCTGACACTCGTCAAAACTGGCATCAGGTCGGGGTGTGTGTAGGGGTGGGAGGTCAGGGCATAAGGGAGTCAAGTCCAGCCTCTGCTGATGCTCTGAGATGAGAGAAAACCTAGGCATCTAGGCTCCCAGGACCACCACCCCCACCATGCTAACCCACTAGACTGTACTCCCCTCCCAGAGACCCCGGGTGTCTGGACCCTCTTGACCCCACACCCTGCCCCCCGCTAATAAGAAGCCAACTCACTATATCCATTTCAAGTCCTACCAACAGATTGAGACCTCCTGCTTGACAAATTCACCCTCCCACTATTACCTTCACAGCTCACTTCACCTTAATTTTTAGCTTAAAAGGCATCCAACTATTTAATACTTTGCTTTAAAAAAAAGCAAACAAAAAAGCTCAATAAATAATCCTCCCTCTTCCCCACAAAAATTACGACTATATAAAACATGGACAGAACCTCATCTTCAACTGAGTCACTGTCCCGATTCCTGCTTAACTGAAGCTTGATCCCTAGCTGCTGCTGAAAACTGAAGAGCAACAGCTAAAACAGATAAAAAGCAGTCTTCAAACATAGATCTAGAATTTCTAAGGGAAGTAAAAAATCCACAGGACTGTGAAACATGGAGAGAAACCTGGATCAGTTAGCAGGCAGCAAAAACACTCTAAAAAGTTTAACAAAATATTAATACAACAAAAAAACAAAACAATTAACAATTTGTTCTAGAATGCAACAAAAATGCCATAAAATTAACTGACTCTGGAGTCCTGTACCCCACCCCGAAAAATCAAGGCTATTACAACCAAGCAGCAAAGCAGATGGCTTCTATCTAGACTTCTGTTTAATGTGCGTTGAACTGGGAGGTGGGGGAGACAGACTATGTTATGTACAAGAACACATGGTAATTACAAAATGATCACCAGGGATTCGGGTTTTCCATTTGCTGTGGAAAAATGCAGATTTTCTCCTTTAATAGAGAAAAAGGCGGGAAACAGGAGGTTTCCCCTTTCAGGTCCATCCTGCAAAAGGCTACTTGGGGCTGGAGGGAGTGGGAGGAGGGTGATCAGACAGCAAGGTGATCACGCATGTAACAGCCAGGAAGCACGCAGAGGAGCTCCCTCCAGGTAGGTCTAGAGAGGGCAGGGCTGGGGACACTGCCCAGCTGGGGTGGTGCATGGGGCCAGGAGCACGAATGCGTGACTGGGGGAGTACCAACTGGCTGATGGAGCGGGACGGAGCCACAGGCAGCTTGTCTGGAGGGCAGTGAGGGGGGCTGACTCCCTGCTGATGCGTGGACTCCTGAAGAGGGTAGCCTAGGGGGGCACATGACCTCCGAGATTTGTGAGCAGGGTGGGGGTGGATGTGGGCTGCCTGCTGGAGGCTCAGGGCTCCAGAAGATGCTACCCAGTGTGAGAGAGCAGAGCAGGGTAGGAAGGCTCAGTGCCGCCGCCAGGAACCCTTTGCCAGCTGCACTGCCATGGTGAGATGCCCCTGCCTGCCAGCAGCAGTGGGAGGCACAACTCTGCACTGCCATGGCCAGGTAAGCAGGGGGCACTTCGCCGTGGTGGCACAGCCTGCATGGGGCTCCCACCCTCCCATGCCGGGTCCTGCCCACTGGGCCACAAAGGCCCAGGGGGACAGCAGCAGGGCAGGGAGCCCCAAGCCTGCAGCAGGCAGCTAGCATTCTCTCCCCACCACCGGCTCTGCTCCGGTCAAAATACGTAGGTATTTAAAATTTATTTTATTGTAACGATTGAGGCATTAGTAAGCTACCAAACTGCCTTAAAATTATAAATACGTCAATAAAACGCTGTGCTCAGCTAATATCTATGTATTTCGTGGAGTTTAATTTTAATCGCCCAAAAATGTGCTTTGGGTTTTTTAATTAGAGAATTTGGGATTTTTAAATTAAAAAAAAAAAAGCAAAAAACAAGATCCCTGGTGATCACGCATCTAAATATCCCTACAAACATCTGCCAATGCAGTTGGATGAATCCCCAGCATCCAATCAGCTTTCAGTCCAATTTAGAACCAATTCAGCTGTTTTTATATAGCCAAAATTCAATATGATCCCTAAAATTAGGTCCTTTTTCATGCCTGCCTTCAGCCTGATTTCTGAGTTTCACCTTGCCCTAGGATCCTGCCATGTTTATGGGTGTGTAAACAGGCTGCTGAAATACAGCTGGCTCTGGGGTGGCGTGAGAGAACCTGAAGCCGTACCTGTACGTGCTGATGACAACTCCTCCTCCTCGGACTCTGCTGCCACGGTTTCTCCTGCCCGGGGAACGCCACGTCTGCGAAGAGAGACCCAACAGGGGGTGTCAGTCTATACTGCCTGTCTCTGTCTGTGTCCCCAACTTTCCTAGCAGTGTCACAAACCGGACCATGAGCCTGAGGCAGCACTATCTCTCTGGTTCTGGGAGGCGGCTGGGCTATAGGACACACACTGGGGCGGTAGCTCTGAGCACTAGCTACCAAATCACTCCCTACAAGGAGCAACAGGGACCTGTTTGGGACAGGCTGGCCAGGGACGGTAAACCCAGACCCAGAACCACCCTGGCAGTACCCTCTGCCTCTGCCACATGCAACTCCAGGCAACTGCCCAGCTACTTGGGCTTCACAAGACTCCATAGCTGCCATGATCTCTAATCTATTCAACCACCAGCAACCTCTGCACCCCGCAACCCCATGGCATCTTGACCTCTGACCCCTTACCCGACTCCCTAGTCAACATCAGCATCCATGTCCTCGAGCTCGTCCTGCCCTTTCACCCCTGCACTCTCCTCTGCTTCCAGCCCTCCAAACCCTTGCTCTGATGCTCTTGCCCTTTGACCCCTTCAATGGCAACCTGACACCTCCTTGTCTTCGGACCCCTCCAAACCCCTCAAAATCCCCTTTGACCTTTCACTCTGAACCCAACCAGACCCCCTTCGCCTCTAAACCTTGACTCCTAACACCCCTATGCCCGTGCTTTGTGCCTTTTACCCCAACGCTCCCTCGACTCTTGACCTTTCAAAACCCCACCGCCTCTTTATACGGTTCGACTCCCCAACCATCGCCCGTTATGTGACCAACCACTCCCTTACACCTTTTGACACCCGTCTCATTTGTAACCTCTGCCCCCTGACCTGCAACCCATCATTCCCTTAATACCCTTTGACCCCTCACCCCCATTCCTGTCCTGACCCAACCCGCATCGCACATGCCTGACATACCTCTTGCTACCCGCTCACACCCCCTGAATCCATCACTCCCAGTCCTACCCTTTGAGTCAAACCAACCTCATTCACTTCCCCAAACACACTCCTGCCCTTTGACCTCTAATCCCATGACACCCTTTAGGCCCTCCCGTCCACCAGCATCACATTATTATGCCTTTTGACCCCACCCCACCCCACCCCATCACACACCTGCATGGACAGTCCTGCTCAGACCCCCAATCCTATCCCCCCTCATGCCCTTTGCTCCTTGAACCCCACCACATCCACCTGTGCTTTGACCCCAATCCCACCACCTCAGGACCTCTGAGCCCCCAAGCCGTCACCCCCTTAGACTGCGCACCTCCCATCCCCCCGGCTCCACACACATGCCCCGTAACCCCTGATCTCCCAACACACACCCTGCCCTTTGACCCCCACCCCAATCACCTCATGACCTCTGAACACCCATCTTCCCTCCCGCCGTTGCCTCCAGACCTCCCCTCACCCCCAGACACCAAGCCCCAGCCGTGCCCCTTCACCCCCACCTTTACACCC